GAAGTGCTTTGCAACTTTTGGCCACAAGAATGACTTTGTTGTCTTGGGAAAGTCCTCTTTTTTCAAAATTCCACTTCATAACACAAACATGAAAAAAACCAGTTCCTGGCAATTACAGAGGTCATCCAAAATATTTTATAAGTATACTGACAAGCTTGTCAAGTTTTTAAATGCCCATAACTTCTTGGACTTTACTACAATTTTGAGTCCATGCATGCTAAAAGTGTTTTTGCATGCACAAACACTACTTCTGTTCTTAATCTGTTAGCAGCTTTCAGCATGTTTGCACCAACTTTAATGATTGTAGCATAAACATTTATTAGGCACAGAGAAGCATCAGTGAAGGTGTCAAACCATAAAACAAGATGCTGTAATGAGTTATTTCTCTTGATCACATCACTGCTGATCCCACAGATGATATGTAATAGTGTACACAGCCACATCCATCTTCACCTCAATTTCCACCCAAATCCTTAATATACATGTGCAAATAAATTCAGATTCACAGAAAACCATGCTGGATGATGATCAGATAATTTCAGATTATTAACTACTTTTCAGAGGGAGCCAGATTGCCTCACATTCTGGATTATAGGATGCCAGATTAAACTTCTGCTATATTAATATTGTGATTAATTATTATTAACAATAAAATTATTATTAGGAGCAGACAGTGAAGAGACAATTAAATATATTAAAGAGTAAGTTTATACTTCCACAGTACTACTCAATATACACTATTAAGCTCAAAAATTCTTGTAAAATAGATAATGTCCAAAATATTTAAGTACAATCCAAAATACTTTTGGACTTTTTCTCCATTTTAAATGGTTATATTCTTGGGTATTTATTCTGACAATGTAGGAAAAGATCAAAATTTTAAATGAAAGAAGTTTCAGGCCTAATATCAAGTATTAATTTAACTCTAAAAAAATGATTAAATAAGTAATTGTTTAGACATCAATGATAACATTATCTACTTAATTCTCTAGAATATATAACAACACATGAAAACTGTTTTTATTAGAATAAATTATATATATCCTCTCTAAACCAATTTTTTTTTTTTAGAATTTCACGCAACAAGACATCATTACCTGTGATTGCCATATATGCCATGATGGCAAATGATCTCTGTTCAGGGCAAGTAATTCTATAAATTAAATATAAATTATCTAAAGTATTCAATAAAATTATAAACTTATATGAAATTAAAGACTTGCTGATCATATTAAATTTATACTTTATATGTCTTACATATCTGATGATAAAACATCTTGGTTGATTGCAATTAATTAATTTAAGAAATTAATATTCATAAATAACAATTGTTATTTTTTTTTTAGTTACATAAATTCTTTAGATGACTTAATTAAACCAGAAAAATTTAAGAAAAATGTATTAAAAAGTCTAAACTTTTTGGTAAAATCTAAGTTTTATTCTATTATAAATACTTTCATTTTCTTTTGGTTTTTTAAAGCTATAAAATTTTCAACAGGAAAATACATTACCTCCCAATAGTCATGTTGTATTAGTGGGTTTAGTAAATGGTTCTTTCATTTATCCTACAATGGCAAAACATTTACATCCTCTAGGACAAGTAAATAAAGATGTAACTTATGACGACCTATATAATTGGCTTAATTGTATGAAAATTGGTCCTTGTTATCAATGGTTGAATAAAAATGAAACTATAAGAACAGCTACTTCAAAGGTAAATTTTTAAATCTTATCTTAATATAATAAGCAATTATTGAAAATAAAATTTATATTTTTATGTAGAGAGGAGAGGAACTTTCCAATGTCTTAAAACAAATAAGTGTTTTATATAAATTCAAATCATTCAAACTCCATTATATGCATAATCCATTATATCAAGGTAAAATATTATCTGCTATAAATTTTAAAATTATATTATATTTAACAATAATTATATGTATTAATCACCTAGTAACACATGAATGGCAACAATCAGGATATTTAATATGGGAAATGTTAGAACCAAGTTTTGGTTTTCATCCTGTACAGGTAAGATCTGCCTTGACTAGTAGAAAAAATTATAATAAATTATAGTGAAATCTGTTTATATTATTTTCAGAAATTACAACCTTTTATTACAAAAATAATTTGGAGAGAACTAGTAGAAAAAAATATTGTAGGTAAGGCTAATCCAAATAATGAAAAGATTCAAATACTGTTTGGTAATCAAGGTGGACATTAAATCATTCTAAACATAATTTATAATTACATACAATTGCTGCAGTTTTTTTGTAAATGTGTACATATATATATATATATTTTTTTACATATAAGTATGTATCAATGTAATTTTCAGTTTTGAAGATTAAATATTTTGATAACATTAGCATTTATGAATCATAATGAAAGTTTATTGTTGAAAATATTTTAAAAGAAAATTAAAACAAATGTTTATCAATCTTGGTAGTATTAGGACAAAACATCTGTTTTATCAATACAAATACCAAATACTTAATTATAAAATAATATCATTGTAGCATTAATTTTAACAATTAATTCTGAAGTTTAAGGTAAAGAAAACAAAACATAGATATTTTCAATTTGCATTTTTTCCCCACCGTAATATTTTTGATTTTAATGCAAGTGATCTAAACAAGCACAAGCTTCAATAGTTTTGACTTATAAATATCAGTATATCAGTATATCTGTAAAGATTTTATTTATTCAATATCAATTAATCATGATGATCATAAATAAATAAAATTTAAATTTTTAAAATAAGTTATTTTTGAACTAGGACACTAATATAAACAAACAACCCATTTTTATAAAGTAAATATCCTTTTCTGTAAAATATGAATTAATTAAAAATGTACATACAAAATATGGTCATAGAAACTATTTAATTTTTTGTTGTTTGATAATTAATCATAAAACTATCAATACAAAGAAAGCTTTTAAGAAATTATTTTTAAGTATTTTATTCTATTTTTGACAAAGCATTTTTTATATTTAAAATTAATTATTGAATCAAATTGTTATTATTTCAAATAACGTGTGTTTATATTTTAACAAACATACATAGAAAAAACATTTTGCAGTCGTTATAGAAAATGAAACATATTCAAACCAGATAAACAAATATATTATAAAACCGATTTGAATTTTCCAAATTCTTCAGTTTATTATAATGGAGATTCCTAATCTTCAATATACACCACCACGTAAAGCCAACACTAAATGTAAGACTGATCCACCAGTCACTTTATAATCTGCTGCCGTTTTATCATCATTCCTAAAAACAAAATAAGGAAATTATTTTTGTTCTTATAATGAAATTAACTTAAATTTATTGAATTTTGATTTATATTACAATTATCATATATATATTATATACTTTACAAAAT